GTGAGTATTTCTTTCTACTTTTTATTTGTGTTGTGCTTTGATGATTTATCATATTACTTGATTTCTTGTTTATTTATTTTTTCCAATTATATTGCATTTGTATTGAATCTTGAGCATGTTATTTGAGTGTTGAAATCATTGTGGTGGAGTGCTCACCACATCTAATAGGATTTGAAATATCTCAATTTGCTCAAAAGGGGTAATTGGGTTATCCCAATTTTACAAGTGATATTAGAGCTCAAGGAATTAGTGTAGTATTTTTGGGAAAATGACATCTCACAAGATTAAGGTGGTGAAGTTTAATAGGTAAGATAATTTGGAAATTTGAAAATTAAAAATGTAAAATTTATTGGTACATCAAGGGCAACACAATGCATTACTTGGAAAAGATAAAAAACGGATCAATATGACCGATGATGATTTGGACGAAGTCGATATGAAGGTGTGGGCCACTATTCGATTGTGTTTAGTGAATGAAGTTTTGTTTAATATTGTTGGTGAAAAGATGATAAAAGATCTGTGGAAAAAATTGGAAAGATTGTATCAAACAAAATATCTCATAAACCGAATTTTCTTAAAAAGAAAATTGTATTCCTTGAAAATGAAAGAATGTGTAAATATGTTAGAACACTTGAATAAGTTTAATAACATCATTTGTTAACTTGAGCGTATTAGTGCAAGAATGGACGATTAAGAGAAGGCGATCACCTTACTTTGTTCATTGTCGAAATCTTATGATAAACTTGTTACTACATTGAGTTGTAGTAAAGACAATTCTCTTGATTTGGGCTCGGTGTGTAGTGCTCTACTTGCCGATGAACTTCAAAAGAAGACATCTTTGGGAAGTTCGGTAGAATCAAAGACGGAAGCTCTTGTGGCAAGAGGACGATCGAATGAATGGGGTAATTCGTTGATAAATCATTCAAGAAGTAATTCAAGATTTCGATCAAAATCAGAGGGCCTAACAACAAAAGTGTGTGTTGGCATTGTGGGAAGCCCAATCATATAAGGAATAAAGTTTTAAAAGAAATGGGGTGAATTCTTCCAAAGCCCCTAATGCGGGAGGTGAAAAGCCATGTAAATCCAAGAATGAAGTCAATCAAGTTGAAGAGTCTACATCCAGTTCATTGAAGATGAAGTATTGATGGTGTCATATAATTCAATATTCTATTAAAATTAGATACTTGATAGTGGAGCCACCCATCACTTGTACCCACATAGATCATGGTTTGACTCATGTGAGTCATGTTATGGAGGATTGGTATCCATGGGTAATAATTCCACTAGCAAGGTGGTTGAAATGGATTCGATTCGCGTAAAGATGTTTGATAGGACTATTCGGGCAATAAAAGATGTTAGTTATGTGTCAGAACTAAAAAAAAGCTTGATTTCTCTCTCTTCTCGAGATTCGAAAGGTTACAAGTTTATCGGTTAAGGTAGAGTAATCAAAAT